CTCTCCCCCTACTGCCCATCTGCATCAATCTTACCCTGTCCCCTCATACAAGTGTATGACAATAAGCTCTTTCATGATCACATGAGACTGGGCAGGGGGACACACTTTTCAGCAGGCCTAGTACAATGAAATGAAATTGTACTTTTTTTCTATAGCCTTACATGCACATGTTGCCTTTCATATTACTGCATACATCACATGTTCAAGAAATAAATGAAAGACCCTATTGTACTATACACACCAAAAGGAGGCAAGTTAACCATGGAGTGGGGTCATTAATGCAGTTCCCTAAACCTTTTGGAGGGAATATTGTTTAATATAGACTGAGAATTAAATTATATACAACCCCCCATCATTCTGTGGATAAATTATTGACATATATATCCACAATTCTGCCCTACCTGGGCAGGACACTATAATAAAGAGATTTCCTCTAGTTACAGTAACACAATAAAATTGAATTGAAAGGGAGATCCTGATGTTTACTAAGGACAAATGTGCATTTGCTATCACTTGAGGAAGTCAAGACTTCCTCAAATTTTGCAGCTAAGGGATGCATTATCATCTTACAAGGACCTCTCAGAGCCACAGCTACTCATGTATATTTCTTGCAAATGGAGAGATAAGAAAAAGTATTAACCTGAATCTTCACTGGTAGTTTAACAAATGGCAACTGCATTCATCAGAGCCTACAGCTGAACAACTTTGAATGTACTTGCCTAGAAAGTATAGAGAAATAGCAGGCAGAGGCCACATTTTAGGAGTGTATACTACATGCTGGTTTAAGGGATACAATTCTCAGCTTCATGATTTGGAGTGATATGTGAAACTGTGCTCCTGTCAACAATAGCCCTGTAAAGCCCTGTGTCCTGAGTTGAGAACAAAGCCTCAAATGACTTTTCTATTACAGGTATGTATTACATAATTCAGGTTCCAACAGACTGGGAAGTGCCTATTTCTTTGTCTGTGCAAGGATAGTTATTCTGTCTCAGAAACAAATCTTGGTTTTGTTACAGGCCTTGGTAAAGGCAATGTAATAGGGAGTACCCAATGAATATAACAACTAGAGTTGTACTACTGACTTTTATATTTTGCTGATCTTCAGAGTCAGTCAGTTGCAGAGAAGCTAGTCACTAGAATAGATTGCTGTCTTGGAGCCACTAAATGACAAAAACCAAGGATGGCACACACAGAATTTAACATTTTTATTAAAAATTGTACCAATTATTAGAAAAAAAAAATGACATGTATTAAAAAGCACCAGAGAGAAAGCGCAAAACAAATATACTGCACAGATATAAAACGCGGAGTCCCAGTCACCATCAGTACACAGAGGAGTCCTGGAGGTACACAACCAGTATAAACAAAATGCTACATTCTCACTGGGTCTCAGTCCATGGCAAAGGAGGTTGTGTACACTTCAGGACCAGTTCAGGTAGGCATCTCACAGGACAGCATTGGTTGCACTTCTTCAGCTGGGAGAGCATATAATGCTCTCCATGAACAGTAAATAACATTTTAATAATACACTAAGAACCTCTATCCCCCCTCCTCCTTGACCCTGAACTTTGTTGCTTTTCTGCGGCAACTGAGGATGCTAAAAAGCTTTAGAAGTTCACGTGTCCTACAAAAATAAAGAAGTCCAGGGTTGGGGATGATTCCACATTCAAGATATTCTCATCTATGGATCCAAACCCAGAAATGCGGAGGACACCTTCGTACATTTCTGATACCAGAGCAGGAAAAGGAAGAAGATTTGGGGGTGGGAGGAGGGAGAAAGATATATATGATTAAGTTTTATTTGGTTTTTAAAAATAGCCTAACTTTAGGCATCTAAAGTTCATATTTAGTATCAGGATTTTCAGGTATACCTAAGAGGTTGATAGTTCAAATCCCTTAGGCTCTTCTGAAAATTCCCCATTAGAAGCCTAACTTAGGCACCTATTTATTAAAGGTCTTTGCCATACTTTTTTATATCATGTGATTATAACAAAGAGTGGTTATATAGCCTTTCTAACCTCAAATTTTCCTTACATAGCTGTCTGACCAAAACTGGAATTGCCTTCTGAATGGTGCAGAGTTGGCTCCCACAAGCTGAGGAGTCTGTGGTGAGGCTCTCCCAGGGCTGAGTCCACAAGTTTAGGGAGACTCCACTAGGTTTAAGGGTAACTTTATACATGCAAATTTGTCATAATAGATTTTAAAGTTTAAAGATCTACCCCTCCCACCCCACCCCTCCATTTCCCAAAGGCAGCAAATAGTCTGAAGACAGAACTGAAAAAATGGCTTTAAAAAGAAAAACCACAGACATAAGTTTCACTTCCCTGAAGCCAACTTCCAGCATGGTATTCATAGGAACTGACCCTTTGTTCTGTGGGAAGAGGGGTTGTTGGGGTGGGGGGAATGGAAGGCATGGAGGAGAGAAGGGATGTCAGGCTGCACATCATTTAAGAATACACACATACAATTATGATCCAGTGCATTTGATGTGTTTGGTCTTTTCTGCTTTTCCTTATGGGTAAAAACTGAGCTGTGTACCACCAGGATGGATATGTACAAACCAAAGAAACAATGACAACAAGAGCTCTTTAGGAACTGTAAAAAAATCACTGAACGATCGTTTAGAAATACCTCAAGGAATTGGTTTTTCTTTTTTTTTGTTGCTAAAACAGTCAAAAGAAACACATGAGCATTTTTTAAACAACCACAAAAGCTGTTTTTAAAATAATATTCTTTGGAATGATATAAAAAGCTTTTCCATCAACTTATTTTAGTACGCTACAGCATTTGGCTCCCATACAGAATTCCCACTGATGTAAAGGGGCGTATGATCCTTGGTTCAGAATCCCCAAAGCAGCCTGGCAAGGTTGGTAATAGTAATGTGTAAACTAAGGCAAGCCCTCCAAAGTTCTGTAATGTCTTTAGCTTTCAAAGTACCAGTAGAGTCCACTCCAGGGGCTTCCCTTGGTTCAGAATGGGGCTCTAAAAAGGTACCAGCTATTTTACTATTTGTACAGTCTCACTAGAGAGCATTATAGATGCTGCTGAAGATCAGCAGAGGTAAAGATTAAAGTGACATTGCAGAATTTGTACACTACAGATTGCAGCAAATGCCTGAAGTCTCTATTCTAACTCCTCCTACTTTATCAAAACTTAGAACCCACAAAGGGAAAGGCAAAAAAATCCCTGAGCCAAATACATCCCTGGCATAACTTCACTTATTGTAACAGAATTAGACTGGGCGTGTCTACACATGCAATTAATGCAAAGCAATAAACTCTGGAGCTTATTGCTCCCAGGTGTATTGTTTGAATGTGTGTTCAGGACTACAGCACGTTGAATTGGGCTGGAGCAGCCTGGCTGGCAGAGGGCCCCAGGAGCAGCCTGCCAGCTTGGGGCTGCTCCCCTTGCTTGGCTCAATGTGCTGTGAAGGGGCTGGCTGGTGCATGAGGGTGCTCCAGTGCGGGGCCAACAGGCAGGCAGCCAGCTGGGGCAGCATCTACATGTGCGCTGTTACAGAGTAAAATACTCTCCAGCAGGATAGTACTAGATATAAGTACTGTTCTGCTGCAGAGTTAATTAGTTTACTGAGCCTAATAGGGCAGGATGTATAGACACATGATGTTTACTGTGGAGCTAATTAGTCTACTCCACAGTAAACGTCTTGTGTGGACACACCCACTGAAGCTGAAATGGCATCATGGGGGTCTAAGACTAGTCACATCTCAGACATCATTTATTCAAGCTTTGTTTGAGCAAAGGCTATTAGTTCTTCCCAGAAGCCAGTCATAAGAAACAAAATGTTCACTAGTGTTCTGGTTCTATCACAGAGGATTGGTTTGCTTTCCCTCTACCACCTTCTTGATACAAAGCTTAAGAAAAGGCTCGCAAGGATAGTTCACTCAGGAGCCTGCCTCCTAACAAGAGTTCAGACATCAAGAACACTGACAAGTACTTACTGCTAGCAGGCTGCTTAAATTGTCAGAAAATGACAGACAGACTTGATACAAAAGGAAAATAGATTCCAAAGAAATAACGACAAACAAATAGAACAGTAACAGTTAATACACACAGTAAGTTATGCAGAAGTCCATACCTAGCAGAGACCATCAGTACCTTGAGAGAAGACTGCAGCCCACATATTACCAATGGCCACTCCATCTCTCAGAAATCCGTTCCATCCTCTACCTGCACATTATCCTAGTCATGGCAGTTTGCAGCTACTTTTGGATAGTCGCTTTATGATTACTGGCTCAGCTTTCAAGAACTGCAGGAAACAAAGTAGGGAATACTTAGTTTTACTAGCACCAGGCTTACTGGATCCAGAGAAGGTTTGGGCAATATAGATACCTGAGAGAGCAGAAGGACACAAATTAACATTTACCTAGAAAACTCCTCCCCTCAAATCAAGAAAATTAGGGACTGAAAATGTTTTGGTAATCCTGAGAGGGGAAATGGACTTCTACACTACTGGTGCCATCAGCTTAAGCTCAATATACCCCAAGAGTTTCTCATTTAAACAAGAATTAGCTTATGAGAAAGAGAAACCAGCTAACTTCTTAGGAACACTTTATCCCACATTGAGTGTATAGAAAGCGACTGAAAACTGAAATCCCACCAGGTCACCAAGGCAAACCAGCATGTAACCAACCAAAAGCATCCCATCCCCTTGTTAACTAAAAATGCTTCCCAAACCAATCTACACATTTCTAAAGGTGGCCAAACGTAATAAAGACGCTGAGATGAGCATGCCTTTTAAAGTACATGCTAAACCATCCCTATTTAGGCAGAATGGGTAACAACTATTGCACAAATGAGGTGTCTGTTGCTAACCTGTACAGGAAGAGATATACACTGCAGGATGAAGGGAGAGGATGAAGGAGGAATCCACTATTTTTAAGATAGAGTGAGGTGTTAAGTAGCAAGCAGCTCATGTTCTCTATGAGGTCAATAGCAAACCCTACCCCCCAGCCGAAAAAGAAAACTCTTGATTTGACTTCATTTTTTTAACCTCCAATATACGCAAATATGGGAGGTTCTTTAAAAAGAGCATCAGTGGTTGTCACGTTTCTAGCTTTCAGCAGCACCACAAGTATTGCAGGAAGTCTGACCTTGTCTAGAGGAAGTCCAGCATCTGCATTCAAGTGGCATATTTCACCCTTCACTGAAAACACAGAACCAAAGGATTCTAACTTAAGACACTGAGATGTGATGTGTAGTTTGATAAATCTATTGTTAGCAGTGGGCATCATGGCCAGGGAGCTCCATCTCTTCCTGAGCCAAACATTTCTCTGTAGACAGCCTAAGTACAAAGCTTCTTAAGTCAGGGGTCCACAACCTAAGGCCTGTGGCCTACATCTGGCCCACAAAGACTGGATCCTGCTCACAAAGATCTGTTCTAGCCTATGTTTTTTTAACCATATACTTGTCCCCTGATGCCCTTCCAGATTACCCCTTTATGTGCAGAGAGGGTTGCTCTCTAGCCCTCCTAAGGTAGGCTGTACTTACTGTCACTGCCAAATTAGCTGCTCCAGGTTGTCCTTCACCATGGCTTTCAGAAGCACATTTTTTACTTGGGGTCACATTAGGGGAGTAAGAGAACAGCCCTCCACATAAGGCAGCTGGGGGATCGGTGGCCTGCAGTAGCGGCTGGGTTGCAAGCACTCTTCTGCCATTAGAAAAGGTTGCCAACCCCTGCTTTAAGCAGTAAAAGTTTCCCCGATTGAAAACTGAATTATAGATATGCTAGCAAGGGAGACCCTACTGACTAACTCTGTAGCACACATACTCAAATAAAAAAAAAGCAAAGTTGAGCTGAGAATTGTAGCTCTTAACTCTGGATAAACATATTACTCTTCCTCCAGCTAGGAGGGAAAATAATCATTTCACATGAGGAAACCTGCTTGTACTGAAAGACGATCACTGCAGAGATGCATAAGCCAAAAAACTCCAGGGAGCTGGTTTGGAAGCTAGACAAATCCTGCCATGGAAGAACAGAATGCCAGTCAAGTGCTGGGGCTGAGTCCAAACATAACTGTAGTACATACTGTTACCAGGCACTTTAAGGCAATGATGAGAGAGCAAGGGAACTGGATCATTACAAATGTGAGAGACAGAAAGGGGTTCTCAAAGAAGAGCAAGCAAAAAGAGAGGGGAAAAACGAGGAAAAGAAATATGTGCAAAACCTCCTGCTTTTCTAATACAGTAATGCTTTGGTGTTCACTGTTCTTTACAGCACATTAGGAACTCAAGAACCCTACAATAATTTGTGCTGATGTTCATAGGATGACTAAATCACTCTCCAAACAGATTCTCCTCAAGCTAGCTTTCTAATTTGTGATTTATATTTTCTAAGGCAAGTAGAGAAACGGTCTGAACAAAGCAGAGACCCTATTGCATTTCCCTTACTGAATTTGTCATTGCATTTGTTCTTTTAGTTCTACTGATAATATTTAAGACTACACATACACAAAAAGTTCCTTTGGTTGATAATTCTCCCTATCCTATTCCAAAACTGACAGTTACATGCATTTAAAAACTCCTGAAGAATCACAAATCACAGGCTGCTTGGAGCTTGCATTCCAAGTATTATCTTTGCCACCAGTCATTGTGTACTAACACCAGCTTCCAGGATTACTCAGTGGAACAATGGACTAACTGCTTGTTCAAACCTGCCGTCTATGGGAATCAAACTAATTGCCAGCTAATTTCCCAGTCAAATATGAAGTAAACATGTCAGATGCCTGGGATTTTAAATTTTTTGACCAAGCGCATGATAACAAAGAGGGAAAAACAAAAACCAGAGGACTAATGGAAGTGTAGAGATCAGCAGTTCTAGAAGAATGATTCTTAGATTATATTCAGTTTTTATCAGCTCCATCCTGGCTAATGGGCACAGTATATTGTGTACCCGACCTTTGCACAAAGATACAGAAAAGCCATCGATACTTCCTGGAAGATTTTGAGAACATTCTTCTTATACAAACAATTCCATTTCTTGGTGATAATGACAAGGAACAACTTCATGTGATGGATTTGCAGAGGCCAATGAAACCATTAAAAGAAACAAGATTTTCATTCAATTCTCACTAGTAATAAAAATGCAAGGAAATGAAGCGTGTTCCATCAGCTGTGAAATATAAAGCCACTTCCTTGTCATTGTTTCTAAAAAATAACTTTTTTCAAGGCTATCCCAGCGAGGAGACTACATTTTTAATTGGAAAGATATTCAAAATATAGTTAAAGTCAGTGGTCCCAGACCCCATCTTTAGCCAGCAGTCAAACTGACAAAATGCTGCACTCCATCAACTAACAAAAGAGAGCAGAGGAATCTGTTAGTTTAGTATCTGCCTTGCTTGCATAGAGGTTTCTGATTCAAGGATTGAGCAGCAAGCTTTACCAAACACATCCACATTCTAAGACTTTCCTTCAACAGTGTTAGACAAGAGCTCCCAACCATGGGAGGCAGGAAGCAACAAAGAAGAGTCCTTAAAAAACAAAAAACAAAAAAAAAACTTTGTCAGATGATCATAAGAGTTTCAAAGTCCTCACATCCGTCCGGCGGCATGCGTCTCTCTCCTCCAAACCAGTGTTTGTTCAGTGCTCCCTGCAGACTGGACCTGGAACAGGTGGATGAGTCTCACCTCTGACCTGCTTGATTCCTGTTTGCCTCCACATTTAAGGCCAAATTATGTAGGAAGAGAAGTATCTGCCACCACACTTGATTTCTGTTCTGCTGATGCTGTAAAGACAATGATCGAAATGAGGTTATTTATATTTTAAAAATTGCAACACACTACTTCTCTTTTCCAACAACTCTGTTACATTTTTCAAGAGCAGACACTTTAATCCCATCAGCACAACAAGGGGTGGGGAGAATAAGTTCTCCTGAAATAATTGTAGCTCTAACATTACAAAAAGAAAAGAGCAGACCCTTTATGCATTGTACACAAGAGGATTAAACTTTTTTTTTTTTTGCTTTCAGGACTTTGCAGAGTTTAGCCAAATGCTGTTTTTAATCAGATTGGCTTCTGAGCCTCTCAAAAGCCCCAGCTGCATGAACAAACAACTTTCTTAAAAAAAAAGAAAAGAAAGCTCCCCCCCCTTCACCCCAAAAGTAGGGAAAAATATAACTGGTGATCCATCTGTAAGTGATTTGACACCATGAAGGTCAAAGGGTTAATCTTCAATTTAAACCACACTGCTGAGACAGCAAAACTCTGATTCCATCTAGTACAAGAAAACACACTCGCGCGCACACATACTCCCCCATTCCCTCCCCCACTACATTTTCCTTCCCAGCATCTCCAAGATAATACTGCCCTTTTTATAGCTACTTTTGACAGTAAGCCATAAATAATCAGCCTTGGAGCCCTTTCCTACTGACTGGAGCCAATTAAACTTTAAGCAAGAACATACTTGAAAACAAAAAACCCAAAACCAAGAGGTTATTTCAGGTCCCATTGTCAGGCAAGAAATTTGGGAGTTGAATTTCAGGGGGACACCAGACCACATAATACTGCTTTTGGGAAGGAGCACTGTTGCCTCTTTTGTTATATGTAATCACCTCTGTGAAAGTGGTTCCCATTATACCCCCACCTTCATGTATTTTAATAGCATCCCATACAAACAGGTGGGTTTCTCTTTACACTGCACAGCCTGGGATACTGTTTCACATCACAAACCAACCCTTAATTATAAGCCCAGTATTCGCTTATTCATCCAGAATTCTCTATTTGTTAAGTGGAGCTGCTGACCTCAAAAAAAGAGTCCTCGGCAAACAGCAGAGTGCAAGACTGGCTTACAGTGACTTTGCCTCAGCACATAGGACAGCATGATAGGGCACTGAAGCACGTTATATGAACAAGATGTTTCAACTTAGATTAGTCCAGCAGGGAAGAACCACATGATTGCAAGGCATTCTTTACACAATCATGAACTGAAGAGAGCCTTAATTGTACTTCATATACTGGAGTTGTTTCAAGAGAAATCTTTAACACATTACAATAAACTCATTAAATTGTGCTTATAGCTTCAGGATAACTACAGTTGTATAAAAAGGCACAATCTGAATCACAAATGCACTCAGAATAGGCTTTAAAGGCGTATTTCCTATATTCACACCATAGCAACAGTCCATTTGTATTTTATTCTTATCTCCAGGTTTGAAGGGTTTACACAGCCCTAATTACAACGTTCCAATGTCAATGTGTTCAATGCAAAATCCACAAGCAGTGATTGTGGAGTCTGCCATTACTGGGCTCAATCCCCATAAACAGCCTCTCTACTGGCAGTGTTACACTTACAGGCAAAACCAACCCTCTCCACTAGCTCTTCACAATACTATTGTTAGGGTTGTGTTAAGTGTCACTGGACCTCCAAATTGCTCTTAAAAAGACAGATTTCTCTCTCTCTCTCTCTCTCTCTTTTAAAAAGACCCCTTCCTCTTTGTCAGACTTTGGAAATTTTACTCATTCTTTTCTTCCCCTTCCCCAAGGCCACATTTCAGAACCTGCTCTAACATGCATGTTCACCCACAGTGCCCTAAGAATATCTAGAAAAATGCCCAAGTGCTTGTTAAATAAAGGAAGTTTCTGGTAACAAAATGGGGAGAATTTGAAGGTACAAAATCTCCAATCTACATCATTAGTGTCCTGCCTAAAAGAGCAAGAATAGGCACAAACACTCTACGACACTTCCAAGATAATCTGGTTGCACACATGCTTGTGTTATTTCATCCTCTTGGTAACATAACACACTCATCTTTAAGCAATCTGGTAGGGGAAATTTAAAAGTTGGTTTAAATAACCTGCAACCAAACTTGAAATATAGTATGTAGCAGTGAACTGGTGGCCCTTCTTTCCCCATCTGCTCAAGTTGCATTTTAAAAAGTGCTTATTTTAGTGCATGTGTGTGGGAGGACATGCATTTGTCTGAAGTGCATGCAATTCAGTCCTCTACAGAAGCAAAACCAGAATGCCTATACTACTGCTTTATTTCAGGTAAGAGGATTCTTATTTTCTTGTGCAACAAGGAAGAGATTTCTAAAAGTCGGTTTGTCTTATGAGGCTTACGAGGTGAACTTAAAAAACAAAGCAGGAGGAGGGAAGAGAGTGCTTGTCACTTTGCCAGATAAAAGGTCTGTAGCTATTTCCTCCTCTGCAAAAAGTAGTAGCTTTTACAAAATATATATGCACCAGGAATTCAGGCCGTTTCTACCCTGGTTGGCTGAAGAACTAGCAGGATCTGATATCACAAGTATCAAGGAAGAAAACTCTGACTGAGATAGGAAGCAAGTTTTAACCAGCTTCTTATGTGTTTATTTTCTCGGTCTATTTCAGTGGTTCTTACCTTTTTAGATTCAAGGTACTCCTTGTTAGACTCTATGCATGCCTTGCAAAATGGCAGCTCTTAGTTTTCACTTATTTTCTGACTACAAAAAAAATAATAGAGCAATTTTTCTGTTGCACAGAACTCAGAAAGACTTTAATAGGTCAGAATTTTTGTAACACTATTAATTTCTATGTGAAATTTCTGGGTTTAGCTTGTGAATCCTGTTTGTACACCTAATAGTGCTAAACCTGAGTAGCACCCTGGTTGAGAATTACTGTCTATTTAATTCAGACACCTATGGGAAAAAGCCCTCTTTGTCAATTGGATGCCCTGACATTTTCAATGAAGAAGGGTCAGAAATATGTATCCAAGAACCTGTGAGATTTCCAGCAAAACTCAGAAAAATTGGACTAGGTAGCACGTGGGGGAAAGTGCACCATATTTCCCTTCCCTCCTCTCCTCTCTAACAAATCGTTCTTATGCCTTTTATATATATCAAAGCAGTGAAAAAGGCTAAGTACTTAGTTTTAGTTTTCACAATCCCCTTCTTTTTTAAATCGGACAGTATCTTTAAAATCTCTACAAACCACCTGATTTTTCAATCTCTAATAAAATAATACCACCATCACCCAGTTCCTTCTAATAATTGCTCTCAGAATGCTGTACAAGAGCGGTCAGTACCACAGCTTGAGAAAAAAAGGCAGAGAGTGGTAACATTTTTAAAGTAAATTGAGGGCGGCCACTCAGTAGGCCAACGGCAGAGCTGGGAAGGTTACTAGAATATCATTCCACCGTCCCACTCACTGGGCTATACTGCCTCTATTTTCCTCTGCTCAGGTTTAGTCAGATTCAAAAGCACCACTTCTTCACTCTAACAGGATGCTTTGTTTTCAGCTATATGAATTCAATGCGAGACAAGAAACATGGAAAAAAAATAGCAGGCACTTTTTACCACTATTGACAAAAAAGCCACTTCAGAGGAAGAATTGACCCACACCTAAACAGGGCCTTTTTGGACTTTTCAGTAAGTTTGAGTAATTTTTCTGTGGACATGCTTTTGCCAGGACTGAGCACAAAATACTCAAATATCTCAAGAAAAGATTTTTTCCATGGTATTGCTTGCCTGCCAGGAAGGACCAGAAATCTCAGGAGAGCCAGTTCATGAGTTATGCAGTGTGATTTCTGACATGAGGGTTTCAGTCAAGTTACACAACCTTCTGCAATTCACCTAGCACTATGTCTGGTACAAACTGATATTCTTCCTAAGGTTAACTATCCTGCAACATGTCTGATAAGAGCCATTCATTAACTTTACTGTTAGAGAAAAACATGATGAAAACAGTTTGCTACTGATTCTAGAAGTGAAGGAGCCTGCCTACCCCCAATCCCCTCCAGCCCAAGCTGTGAGTAAAGCAGACTAGAGTTGTAAAGTGTCATAAGCCAAGAGGTGACACAAAAAGCTTAAAGCACATAAAATGGTTTCCTATTCCAGCTGCAGTCTTTTAGAGGATATCCTTCAGAGATTGTCTGTCCAAGATGGTTTCACATATGTTTCAATGAGTCACAAGGACAGTCATTTTACAGGAAAATATCCAGTACAACAGGAAACACACCCCGTTTCTTGAACTGTCCTGGTATCCACCATGATATGGGTATATAAACATGTTAACAAGCAACATATGAGTAGTAATACATGGAAGTGGACCAGGGACAAAAATTAGGCATGTGTTTTCAATAATTCAGTATTCCTTCACGGCGTTGGACAGTGTGCACAATAAAAGGTATGAATGTCATGAGCCAGCCTCATTGTTCTCCCACTCATCAAAGCACTTTTATTCATATTCCACCCTTGGACACAGCACCATCATGAGATGTCAGTGGACGTGAGACATAGTACCTAAGAGGTTTTTCCTTTTCATACAGCTCCTTATATCAGAAGTAACAGCTGACTGGTTGTTAAGGAAGTTTGTTTTCCTTCTGCTGAAGAAGTGCAGTGGATTTCCTCCTTACAAAATAAATTGCATGATTATCACATACACACTTTGACATAAAAGTTTGTGTAAGTGTATATAAAAATCACACATGCATTCTGTACTGCTGGTGGTTCCTTATTACAAAATAACAGACCTATATTCATATCATGGCTGTCAGCAGCTCTTGGCTTTACTACACCAATCTCTTCCTACATAGCTGTTTGAAGGAGCAAATACTGGTCCCAACCACAGTAAGCAGAACCATGATTTATCCAAAAGTGACAACAGTATAGTATAAGAGGAATTCTTGTGGATATGTAAGTCTTAGTCTTTCTTTGATGACTAATACAAGTCTTGGCAATATTACCTTTTCTTTTTTTCCCCCCAAAACAAGTAATACTTGCAACCTAGAAGTCACTGACTCATTGTTGCAAGC